TACGCACTGAATAATGGACTTAGTATATTACAGAAGAGTAGAAATTGGATTCTTGATTTCCCATCTTTGTTTTCTTTTATCCTGCAAAGTTGAAGCTTAAGCTGATTTCACTGGTGCGTGAGGAAAAATAGGGTGATCCCCCAAACAATCAGATTTCCGAGGTGCCTGGGTGGCTCAGTCCTTAGGCTTCTGCCTTTGGCTCTGGTTGTGATCCCAGGATCCTGGGATCGAGCCTGCATCAGGCTCCCCCCTCAGCCAGGAGTCTCCTTCTCCCTCTCCCATTCCCCCTGCTTATGTTCTCTCTCTCCCTATGTCTCTCTCTGTCAAACAAACAAACAAACAAATAAATAAATTCAAATCTTAAAAAAACAACCAGATTCTCCACGTGGAACAGCTTACAACGGCCTCGGTGTTCCACTCAGATACCCAGCAAACACTGCAGTCCTATGGGGGCAAATGTGTGCACATTTTTAAACATTTTGCCACAATCATGTTTTTTTTTTTCTTTTTTGCCTGATGGCACTGTTTCTTATAATAAAATCTTCTCTGATTGACACCTTAAAAAAGCAACCCCATATGTTGGGATTACATGGGGGAATGAATGGAAACCTTCTTAGCAGGGTTTTGCTAACGGAGAAGTGTCCCTTGGTTGATCCTCTAGAGTCACGTTCCAGATCCTTGTCTTCAGATCCTGATGCAAGAGCGAGATTGCCTCGACTGTCAGGAGGGTCTGCTTGTCCTCACTCACTCAGACTCAGGGCTGTGAGCATCCACCAGCAAGCAGAGCGAGGCTCCAGGCAGCTTTGGGGTCACTGGCAGATCAGTGGCACTGAGCTAAATGAGAGCTGGGTACCGCTCTCCCTCTCTGCCAGCTTCCACCATGGCTGCTCTGTTTCCACCCTGTTGTGTGCCCTGAAGGAACTCTGGCATTTGCTGAAAGGTCATCAGTTGCAATTTTAGACCGCTGGGTAACTCGAACTTGTAACATTTAAGTGTAGCTGCAAAAGGGGTGTGATTGCTGCATCCAGCTATTAGCCAGGGCCAGGTGGTGGCACAAATAGCGGACCCTCCCCTGTTCCCTTTGTGGATGAGTCACTGACCGCTTACAAACAACACTAGCCAATACCACTCCCTCCTCCATCTCTAAGGTCTCCAGTCTTCTGCGTATTCTTAACATGGGTGTGTGCCTGGGCGCAGAGCTTCTCCGGGGAGTTTGCCCCGAGGTACTGGTTAGTTGGTTTCACTTCCAATCTTGCTAACATATACTTTTATAGAACATAATAGAAAGAATTACAGGAAAGGCCAAAGAAGAGAGTTATCCTTTAAGCAGAGTTTCAGCTGAGGTCACAGCAGCAGACTGTGATTGTATTTGATGCCACTGCACGGTGTGCTTAATAAATTGTTACAGTGGTAAAAAAAAAATCCCAAAACCTGGAAAAATGAAATAAAAAACAATTACATATAAAATGCAGTCCCTGATTGTTTAGTATTAGATTGTAATTTCATTTAAATTTAAATTACATTTTATTATTAGATTTATTATTATTTTTAAAGATTTCATTATTTTTTTGAGAGAGAGATGGAGAGCCAGAGAGAGAGAGAGCAAGGGACAGGAGCAGAGGGAGGGGGAAGAGCAGTTTCCACACTGAGCAGGGAGCCTGATGCAGGGCTCGATTCCAGGACCCTGAGATCATGACTCTGAGCCAAAGGCAGATGATTAACTGACCGAGTCACCCAGGCGCCCCTTATTGCTAGATTTAAATCATATTTTAATACAGACAGAGCAAATACAACATAGGACAATTGCTATAGAAATTTCTAAATGCTTTCAATTTTTCTACTAACTTTGTCAATGGACTGGTACAGTTTGCAGATTGTCCGTGATCCATTTTGTATTTTGTTCTATAGTAATATGAATTTTTTAAAAAGTGTACAGCTATTTGAGATTAACACACGTATAGATTCAAATTGCCGTCACCGGGGCACCTGGGTGGCTCAGTGGGTTGAAGCCTCTGCGTTCAGCTCAGGTCCTGGGACCGAGCCTTACATCAGGCTGTCTGCTTGGCAGGGAGCCTGTTTCCCTGGCTCTCTCTCTGCCTGCCTCTCTGCCTACTTGTCTGTCAAATCAATAAATAAAATCTTAAAAAACAAAACGAAACAAAACAAAAAAACCAAACTGCCATCACCATAATTCGGATAGGAACAGTCCCATCAGGCAACAGTCCTTGTCTTGACCCTCCCCACACCTGTAGGCCCTGGCAACTATGGAATTGTTCTCTTTATACTTAATTTTGTTTTCTAAAAATATAAGTGGAATCATACCACATGTAATCTTTGAGACTGGTTTCCTTCACTTAGTACAGTGTCTTTGAGATTTGTTCCCGGGCTGCATGCAACAGGTTTGTTCCTTTTTATTGCTGAACTCTAGTCTATTTTACAGCTCTACCCCAGTTTGTTTATCCATTCACTGAGGAGCACTTGGGTTTGCAGTCTCGGCCATTATAAATAGAGCTGCTATAAATATTCATGAAGCGGTGTTTGTTTGCATAGACATAATCCTTTCTCCAGGGAAGCTGTGAAGGCCCGCTGACCTGGCATCCTTTCAGACCGTCACGTGGGAAATCCTCTGATGACAATGTTGTACTTCAAAGGAGATCTGGAAACCAATAACCAGGATACTCTTTTCTCTTGTACTCACTTACTGGCCCAGGACTCCTAACACCCGGCTACATCTCCTCCTATAGTCATGTCAGAAGAATCATTGTTGATCAGACAAAACTTGTTATTCGTTAATGGCAACATGACACGGCAAGTAAAGAAGGTTCCTTCCATAGTTCTCACCATTTCCCGAAGCTCGCAGAAAAAAAAAGAGAGCTTTCTGGTTTAGATGCTGGTGGTGTCAAAATTAAAGTGTTCTGACAGAGCAGGTATCCACAGCTCTATCTTACTAAAGGCTCACACAAGCAGGTGCACAAAGATATGGAAGCTCGTTGAAACATTGTTTTGAGAGTGAACATTTCCAGAATCATCAAACAGTCCACACGTTGGATTGCAGTATATCTCTGTGTACCAACATGGATGTGTATTTCTGAGATGTTTTGCTATGGCAGCCACTTGAGATTGGCTGGTCCATGGAATACCAGTGCTCAACCCCCATAGCAAGGGGTCCCCATATGACATAAATCTGGTCAAAGCTATGTAGGCAGAAGTCCACTGGTGTGTGTGTAGGGAGAGGGTGGGGGAGAGTGTTCTTGGGAAATACTTCTTTTCTAATAAAAGGCAACCGATGTGATGGGAGCGCCTTTCTCCCCTCTTTGGGTCTTCTGTGTGGGCTAGATGTTCAGAATGGTGGCTGCCATTTTGTGCTCTTGAGGTGTCTTAGCTTGGTGGCAGAAGCCAGCTGACCAAGGACAACAGAAGAGACAGAGGGGCTCCTCATGGAAACTTTGAAACTTTGAGTAGCTAAATAAATGCCAGCAGCCACCTCCTAGTGAACTCATGAGAAAACATGAGAAAAATAAACTCCCGCATATCTAAGTCATCTGAGTTTTCTCTTGCTTGCAGCTAAACACATTCTGATTGAATTAATTGTCAGAAAAAAAATCCCATTGCAATGTCTTCATGTATATTCGACAGAGCAATGTGCATATTCTATTTTGCAAAATGGAGTTATATATGTACACATAATAGTTACATATACATCTAAAATAGTTATATATACATAACAGTTAATATACATCTAAAAACTCTAACAACGAAAATAAAAACTCTAACAATAGTCGTATATACATCTAAACCATAGGTACACATAATTATTAAATACACATCTAAAAAATATACACCTAAAATAGTTATATATATCTATAATAGCTCAGAGGTACTAAGTATCTACTATGTGCCAGGCTCATCTTTTTGTTTTTAACCCTGACAATGACTCTATAAGGTAGATGTTTTACTGCTATTCCCACTTCTAAGAGAGAAAACTGAAGATTCAGGAAACTTCCTGGGGACATCTAGCAGGTAACTAACTAGCTTGGGACTCAGTGCCGGTTGTGTGTGCCCCTACAGAACCTTCTTGGTCCACCCTAGGTAGGCCCCCACCAGTGCCTATGATCCATACAGACCCCCACCAACCCAGTTAGTCCTACAGATTGGGTTGGGGGCTGGGCTGGTGGTGAGGTCTTTCTTTCTTTCTTTCTTTCTTTCTTTCTTTCTTTTCTTTATTCATTCTTTCAAGATTTTATTTATTTGAGAGAGAGCACGAGCAGGGGGAGGAGCAGAAGACCCTCCTCGGAGCAGGGAGCCCCATGGGGGACTTGATCCCAGGGCTCGATCTCAGGGACCCTATGATCATGACCCAAGTCGAAGGCAGACGCTTAACTGACTGAGCCACCCAGGTGCCCCTCACTTTTCTTTATATATTTCCGTAATGTTTCCTTTCAGTAAGCAAGTAGCATTTTTGAATTGAAACTGCAAAACTAGAGGAATTGATAAAACAACCCTGATGTGAGACACTGCGCTAGGAGGGTAATTTTCTTCTTCTAGATTTGGTTATCTATCATGGATACCCCTTCGGTCACACGTGCTTTTGGAAATAAGAAGCCCCCTTTGCAAACGTTTATGAAAGACCCCTGGCTAAGCGGAACCAGGATTATCTCATCATCTGACCTATGCCCCAGATAAGTTACCTGCCAGCGTGCCTCCCATAGGCACAGGGGAATTGAGTTCTGCAGTAGATGTATGCAAAGCATCCTGAGTCCTGGAAGGAGAGGGTTTTATGGATTTTTTTGTTTTTTGTTTTTTGTTTTTAAGTGGCCAGATTTCTCTTCTCCCACCAGTTACTGAAGGGTTGCTTCCTGGGATCATCAAGAAAAATGAGGTGTGTGTTTTCTGGGCTGCCTGATTCTATTTGCAGCCGCTTATGGTGCTTTGGCAGCCTTCCAAATCAGCCTGCCAGAGAGATTTCCTTGAGGGCTTGCCCAGTTGTCTTAACCACGTGGGTCGGGGCACTTTTTCCTTAAAGGTCCTGGCAGGGCTCGCAGGAACCAGCTCTGATACCGACTGAGCTACAGCCTTTCGAGATAAACAGGGCCTCCTGCGAGAAAAGAAGGATTTGCAAAGTTCCCCGCCACGATGTCGGACAGAAGCCCCTTTGAAACGGACATGCTCACCCTGACCCGCTACGTTATGGAAAAGGGGCGTCAGGCCAAAGGGACTGGGGAGCTCACACAACTGCTGAACTCCATGCTGACGGCCATCAAAGCCATATCCTCGGCTGTGCGCAAGGCCGGCCTGGCCCACCTGTGAGTCTGGGGGGAGCAGGTGCGGGTACTCGGACCTGCCCTTGACACTCAGGGATTCAGGCACGGGTGGGGCATGCGCAAACCTGCAGGTGCTCGGGGAAGCTACCTCTGTGTCTGGAGGGAAGGTGCTTTTAAAGTTTCTGTCTCTGATGAAGGGCTCTTGACTTGTTTCAAGAAAGGAACAGAATACTGGGAGAGATGGTATGGAGGAAAAAAAAAAGAATTTTTCTTTTTTAAAAAAATGTATAATTTTTCCAGTTGCCATGTATTATAATGATGACCAGCTCAGGGGCTTGTTGCATTTAATATAGGTTGAATTATCATGATTTGTTTCTTGCTGCACAAAGAAACAGTGAGAAAGACTTGAGATTTCGCTTTAGCTCTTAGCAGATAAGAGCATTTTATTGCCATGAACTTTGCCAATGTGCTAGGAGCTAAGAATCATTTACAAAATAACTCCCTGCCCTGAAGTTTCAGCCTTATTTTGGCAAGGAGTCTTTTTTGCTTTTAAGACAATTTTTTTGTTTCTTCTCTGTGACTCTTTATCTTCTCTGCTTGGTGTGCAGGAAGCTGGGATGTTCTGGGTGGAAGAGGAGGGAATGCAGAGCGCTCTTCCACTTTATTCTCTTCTGTACGCCTTCCAAGCACAGAATGAGGCCAAGTTCATGCTACAGCTGCTGTTATAGCTGCTGACCTTAAAAATAAGTTGCTTATTTTGCCAGCAAAAATGAGTTTATTAGGGAATAGTAGAGAATTGCAATCTGGGACAAGTAAGCTCTGCCAAAAACCATAGGCTGGTCTAACAAAGGAGAAGAAGGTTATTTTATGGAGGAGGAAATTGGCAGGGGTTGTTTTGAACGAAAGCCCATTGGTGAAAAACAAGAGTTCAGGGCCAACGTGGTTTTTTACTGGCTGAGTTGCTGGGCTAGTCAATTTCTTGGAGGAGATGCCACCTACATCTTTTCTTGTAGGAGTCTGTAATTAATTGATGATTTCCTGGAGGATTCTTCCGTTGGGGTTTGGAATTGACACTTCCGGCAATGACCTCCAGTGGTCCGGTGTGAGGGCTCCCCCTTCTGGCCTCCTGACTCAATTTTAGTGAGGCTTCCCTTTATTTAATAAAATTCCACACAGCCAAGGGTCCAGTTTAAGTCTGTGGTAAAAAGAAGCTGACTTTCTCTGGGGTTCCATCTTCTTTGTAGCAAGTCCAGTGGAGGTCTTCTCAAAAGTTTAAAGGACCTATTATTATTATTCCAAAAATGAAATAACAAAAAGAAATAACAAAATCTAATAATTTAAAATACTAATTCTTAACAATTTAGTACTTATAATACAGAAAAAAAATTGATAGCGTTATGGGGCACCTGAGTGTCTCGTTCAGTTAAGCATCTGACTCTTGATCTCAGTTCAGGTCTTGATCTCAGGATCATGAGTTCAAACCCCGCATCGGCCTCCACACTGGGAGTGGAGCCTGCTTAAATAATAATAATAATAATAATAATAGTAAAGATGCATTATGATCGTCTTTCCCCACTCTCTGTGTATTGTTATAACTATATTATTGTGTCATCCAGCAATAATGGCCAAGCTCTACAATTAAGAACTTTCGTGAATGCGAGGTGAAGACATTTGCCTCTGTCCTGCTCCTATGAGGTGATGGGCTATGCTGAGTGACACTAAATAGGGACTTTACCTGTCCCTGCATATGGGCCCTGCTATGCTTAGAGCCATTTTCTGGGCATCTCCGCTGCTTGCTGACATTTCTGTATTTTCTACCCACCTTAATGCGCTTCTCCTCTTTGCAGGATGCTTAGCTAGGCAATGGCGGCTGTGGTAGGGTTGTACTAATCGGCTTCAGAACTCTTAGCTTTGTGGCTGTTGAGCGTCCAGATGAAGTAGACTCAGGAACTGGGTAATAGGGGGTTCACTGAACTTGGCTCTTCCTTCCGGTGATTATCTACACTTGCTGGGACCTCAGTTTCTCATTTGTAAACTGGAGGGGATGCTAACAGCCCCTAACTTACAGGGTTGTTGTAAGGCTTAGTGGATCCATGGGATGAAGATTTCAAAAAGGCCAGATCCATAATAAATGCTCAGTAAATTCTCATGATTACAGTGGTTCCAAGTGCAGATCCGAGGAAATTTGCGACTGGCTGGGCCATGCTGCTGACTGTCCACTAGGTGGCAGGTGCAGACCACCGAATCAAGATGTCTGGCTCCACCTTTTTCTCAGAGGCGATGAGACAAGGGTCCTCAGGATTGCAGGAGCCCCACATCCTGCTAATTCAGATGACATCCTTCCATAGCCCCTCAGTAAGAAACACCAAAGTGGCAGTGTGAGAAGCCCATTGTCTGGAAATTCCTTCTTTCTAATGAACTGCTGAGATTAGTTAACAAGACAATGGAACAGCAAGGGAATTGCTTCTCATATTGCTAGAGGGTTGCTCTCTGTCCTGGAGCAATTCTGCTCATGAAAATGGGACTTCCATATATTTCTGTCCCTTCCCACTTAGGGGACCTCAAGCCCCTCATTCTTTTGCTTCCTTTTTCTGGGAGGACATTTTTAGGCACAAACTTAATGAATGCCAAAGGGAGCAGAAATTTTCATGTTTTTTTTTTTTTTTTCTTCTTTTTTGGTCCTCTCATGGGTGTAAGAAGAAGGGAATGCTAGAATGCTTCTTCTGGAAACATCTTCATGGTTTTCTACTGTCAGTGGTGGAATATCCCATTTAAAAATTGTCAGTAACGTTTTTCTTAAAGATTTTATTTGTTTATTTGACAGAGAAAGACGCAGTGAGAGAGGGAACACAAGCAGGGGGAGTGGGAGAGGGAGAAGCAGGCTTCCCGCTGAGCAAAGAGCCCAATGTGGGGCTCGAGTCCAGGACCCTGGGATCATGACCTGAGCCAAAGGCAGATGCTTACCAACTGAGCCACCCAGGTGCCCCAAAAATTGTCAGTAAAGTTTTAATATTAGTTAAAATGGTAAAAGATATTGTTCTGTGGGTTATAAAGCTCTCTTGCATCTGTGACCTAACTTGGAGCAGTTGTCAGACAATTAGATCTCAGTATGAATGAGCTTTCATTCTTTCTGGAATGAGGGGTGTTGTTGGTGGTTAAGGGTAGATGACATCTGGAGGAAGGCTGTCAGTCAAGGAGGGTGGGAAATGAGTTGTCTCCTGCTGAGGGTAGATCAGTGGTTCTTAACCCTGGCTACCTGTTAGAACCACTTGAGGATTCCTTCAACAAATAGATGGCATTAAATAAAGGAGAAGTAGGGAAGTTACTTTCCTGACATGCCTTCTTCATAATTCATTGAATGTGTATGGAGCATCTACTATGTCCTTGAGCACTATGGAAACCAGTACAGTAGGCCAGCAGTCTAGCATTCAGTAAACAGACAGTCCAGTAGGAAAGGTTTTTGCATGAATAGGTCATGAACTGCTGTGGGAGGGAGGGATGATAGGGATGTAGTGGGACCAAGGAAGCTTCCAGAAGGGATCAGGAGGGAGACTAGTGAGAAGCTGATGGTTGGCAGAGAGCATTCCTGTGGAGAAACACCATGAGTGAAGGTGAAAAGGAGAGGAACAGTTTGCTGGGTGCTGGTGGCCACAGGACTTTTGCACTGTTGAGATGAAAAAGGCTTGAGCGGGGTAATAGCCATTCCACTTTTAGAGGGATGAGTGTGGAAGAGTGTGGGGGTAGGATGGCAAACTCAGGGGTACCTGTAAGGCAAGTGTGTGTCTGGTGGATTCTGGAGGCGAGACTGGCTGAATGAGGTGAGTGGGACAGGGCTTCCTTGGTGGGACCTCAAGTCCACCGTGGGGAACCTGGGAACTCAGGGTGAGACCAGAGTTATCTGGTTGGTATTTTAGAAGGATCCTGTCCATGAAGGTGGGAACTGGGAGACCTTGCATATGGATATTCTAAAATAAAAAGCTAGATAGAATTTTTCTTACATTGCTTGAAATGGCAATGAAGAACAAAATTAAACTAGTTAATTGTGTCCCCGACTTTCCTTCTTAAGGAACACAGAGCTGTCACGGGTCTATTTTTCATTCGACTCACCAGTCCACTATTTGGGGTAATCAACAGATACTTGAAATTTCCGGGCTGGAAAGCCATGAGCCTTTATTTGTTGGAGTCAGTAATGACAGCAGTGTGTCTGAGTTTATGAACTAGCCCTTTCCCTTCCTCTCCCACTGCCGAATGCTGGTTTGTGTTTTATTAAGACTGAGTTCTGGTAGGGTTTTTGTAAAAATAAGCGGATAGGACCATATATCCCCGAGGTGTAAAGGAAGCAAAGTTGAGAATCCCGCTGTGAGTCATGTTACACTTGGTCTGTATAATCTGTATAATTTGGAGACTCCGCAGCCATGAGGGGAAAAGCTGGGATACAGTGGCTTCTGGGCTTCTCTGCTGGAGTTTGGCTTCCTTTAGTGATTTAATTCAGACTTTCCTCTTCTTAGGTATGGAATTGCGGGAAGCGTGAATGTGACCGGGGATGAGGTGAAGAAATTGGACGTGTTATCCAATTCTTTGGTGATCAACATGCTCCAGTCCTCCTACAGCACCTGCGTCCTGGTTTCCGAGGAGAATAAAGACGCGATTATCACCGCCAAGGAGAAGAGGGTGAGTGCGGGGCCGGAATGCAGTTCCCCTCTTCACCAGCAGATGGCACTACCGAGTCGGGAAGAATCTGGTTGCTTTGCTTTTCTTTAGTTTCTGGGATTTTCCTTGATTCCTTAAATTCTGTTTTCTGAAAAAAAAATGGATTGCATACTTCTTTAGCTAGAAGTCTTACACTGTCTAGTGAAGAAAATTCTATGACAGGGAGTGATTTATTCAGGAAGTAAAACAGAGTAATTTACTGGAAATTCCTCAGTGGGTGGGGTTCATGTATTTTCATGTGCCCGGAACAAGTGTTGCATTTTTTTGTGGCTTCAAAGTCATTAAGTCCAATAAAAAGTAGAGTTCCTGGGAAGAGCACCCATTCCACTTCTATGACCCATTACCCCAACACACACTTCTCCAAGGGAGCTCTGGTTTCGGCGGAGATCTCTTTGCTCCTGACAAACCGTTAGATTCATGTAGGAAAGAAATCATAAGGATTGTGTGCTCTTGCCTTAATACAATGGCAAACCTGGTCAGTGCAGGACATGACCGGGGAGGGTCTGTAGTCATTCTGGTTTCACAAACAGTTCATTAAAGATAGAGGTTTGCTGGTGGCCAAAAATTCAACTTATGCTCAGCTATTAAACAAAATAAATACTGGGACTGGTCCTTGTTTTATACATTGGGTGTTGGAGAACATTTCTTCATAATTAGCTGAGAGGACAGAGCAGGTAAAGCCAAATTTATTAAATACCTGCTGTATACCAGGGACTGTGCAAAGTATTTTACTCTCACTGTGTCACACAATTTAAACTAAACCACGCCAATCATTTTCAATGTTTAGCTCCCACTGATACGCCCCCAATCATCTCTCCAATCTAATTCATCATTTCCCCACCAGTTGACCCAAGCCATACAGGTCTTAGTGCTAGTTCTTGAATATTCCATGCCTACTTCCATGCCAGCTCCTTGAGCATTTTCCAGCATGTTCCAGACGTTCAACAGATATTTGTGGAAAGCATGCATGCCTGAATGAATGGGCTCACTTGAATTATCTACAGGGAGAATGGGGAATTTCCAAATTTATGGATTATCCCACTTTTTACCCACCCTCACCCCCACTGAGCAAGGAATAAAAAAGAAATAAAGGTCAGCTTAAGCTAAGGTATTACTCAGCAGAAAGTCAGGGAGAAGTAATTTTAGTGGTGAGAGAAATGACTTCCGTTTTCCTTGATGTTCTACTATCCGTGTGGAATTAGCCAAGAGACTCCGATCCTCATCACTACAGCTCTCCTGGAACCTTGCACATAGGAGGCCTGTAAAAAGTATCTGGTGATTTCTTTCTATGGAGTGACAGCTGGAGCAGCCTGTGCAGCAGTGGGGTGAGCTAGAAAGATCCCACCCACTCTGTCTTCTGGTCTTCACGTAGGACAGGTGGGTCGGCTGCAGCAAAACCTGGGATAGTATTTTCATTCCTATGACTATTTATGGATACTAGCTCTCTTAGATCCAGAGGCTCTGGAATGTTGTTCAGAGGTTTTCCAAAGTCTTTTGGCAAAAATGCCCCAAAAGGAGGAAAGCCTGTCTGCAGAGAGGTTCAGAAAGAGTCATGAATAAATCTATAACCGACCTTACCACGGCTATGGATAGAGCTGGCCCGGGGTTCACCTTCCACTTCTCTACCTCTCTGGGCCAGTTGTCAGTTTCAGACTGGGTTTCCTGTCATACCCTCGGCAGCCCTGAGTCTCCAGGGGGCTGGGGAGGGCAGAGCCAGAGGAAGCAAGGAGGTGGATGGGACCTGGAAGCGAGGAGGTGGATGGGACCTGGATCGCCCCATATGGGCATCAACTCATCGGTCTTCGGGCAGGTTGGTCCTGGGCTTAGGATTCATAGATGCCGATATATTTTGCCACCCTTAGTAATTGCATTTTTTGGTAAGGATAACCCTTTGCTCTCAATCACTTTTTTATGTAGTGTTACCTGCCATTTACAGCCATTTACATGGAGTGTGTTGTTTGAAAGGGGACCAATCAGGTGGTTCTTCTCTCCGTGCATTTAGGGGAAGTATGTGGTCTGCTTTGACCCACTGGATGGATCTTCTAACATTGACTGCCTGGCCTCCATTGGAACCATCTTTGCCATCTACAGGAAGGTGAGTAGATGGTCTGATCTTTAATGTCTTCTCCCTCTAGGAGTTTCTGGAAGGTTGCTGGGCTGGGAGCCACGAGTTTGGAGTTCTAGTCTCTGTCCTCCCACTAACCAGACAGGCTACTGTAGGCAAACCATAGCTCGCTCGGTCTTGGGATCCTCACCCGAAGAACTGAACTGGTACTTTCCTACTACCCTCTTCACCGCCCCGGTAGGATGGTAACATCAGAGGACAGATGGGGCCTGGTTTTGAAAATCTGGTTGTGACACAAATATCAGACGTGGTATTAGGTTCTTGGTGACATTTGAGGACTACTCTGCTTCTTTGTTATATTTCTCAAATCTTATTGTATTGATTTTCTATTGCTGCTGTAACAATTGGCCACATGTTTAGAGGCTTAAAGTGCCCACTTATTGTCTATTGTTCTGTAGGTCAGCTGTCTGACGGGCATGGCTGGGTTCTCTGCTCGCATCTTGTAAGGCCAAGATCTGTGTGTCAGCCAGCCTGGGCTCCTCCTGAGAAGCTGGGAGTGGGGCAGTTTGCTCTCAGGTTTGGTTAGCTTGTTGTCAGAATTCAGTTCCATTCTGTGGTAGGATGGAGGTCCCCAGCTTTTTTTTTGGCTGGCTGATGCTGGGGCCATTCTCAGCTTCTAGAAGCTTCTTACATTCTGTGTTTTATGACTCTTGTGTCCTTAAAGGTAGCAAAGGCAGGCCAAGTCTTACTCAGACTTCAAATCTCTCTGATATCTCCACTTTGCTTCATCTCCCCTAGCCTCAGCCACAGAAAGTTCCCTGCTTTTAAAGGCTTATTAGAGGGGCGCCTGGGTGGCTCAGTAGGTTAAAGCCTCTGCCTTTGGCTCAGGTCATGATCCCAGGGTCCTGGGATCGAGCCCCACATTGGGCTCTCTGCTCAGCCGGGAGCCTGCTTCCTCCTCTCTCTCTCTCTGCCTGCCTCTCTGCCTACTTGTGATCTCGGTCTGTCAAATAAATAAATAAAAAATCTTTAAAAAAAATAAAGGCTTATTGGATTAGATTGGGCCGGGGTGCCTGGGTGGCTCAGTGGATTAAAGTCTCTGCTTTCGGCTCAGGTCATGATCCCAGGGTCCTGGGATGGAGCTCTGCATCAGGTTCTCTGCTCAGCAGGGAGCCTGCTTCCCTCTCTCTCTGCCTGCCTCTCTGCCTGCTTGTGATCTCTGTCTGTCAAATAAATAAATAAAATCTTAAAAAAAAAAGATTAGATTGGGCCCATCTAGGTAATCCATGATGATTTATTTTAAATTGGTGGCCCTAATTATATCTGAAAGTCCCTTGTGCCAAATAATGCAACACGGTCACAGATTCTGGGGATTAGGATCTCTTTGGGGCCTTTGCCTACTGCACATACCCGACAACAGAGAGGATTTGATGGCTTGGTTTGTGACCATCCTGTATCACCAGAGACTTCACAGCGACCCGCATAACCCACACCGGATCACAATTTGATCACTCCAGTCAGGATGGCTGGGCTCTGCCCTGGGGGCTTTCAGGCAGAAGGGAGACCAAGGCTGCTGGATGGTCTTAAGGATTGTTCTTTTGGGTAATCTTCCCCCCAGGCTGGTTGTGGAGGCCCCCACCCATGCCGCTGTCTCCACAGCACACATTCTGTCCACTAAACTACTGGTGATCAAATCGCAGGCATCACTGACTTTCTGTGCTACGATTCGGCACTAGTTCTGTAATGTGCATGTGATTCACTTTCTCTGAGTGTTTTCCTTACTGCTCTTGATGATAAACATGGGGGAAAGATTGGGTCTGCCCCATGTCATCTAATGTGTTGTCTGTAGATACCGCTATTTGAAGATATTTCTACTTGGCTGATGGTTGTTCAAAGAAAGAGGCCAGAATTTGATTTTCAAGGGGCAAATGCTTAGCAGAAAACTAACCTTAGCAGGATATGTGAATTAGTCTAAGCTTCTTTCTGAGGAGAACGTCGAGGAGCATGAGTGGGCTCTGCTACTCCTGTCTTGGAGAACCAAATGGAGGCCAAGCCAGCCTGGACTGGAGGGAACCTCTGAGAATTTTGTTTTCCCACTTGGTGCTTCTCTCTTTTTTTCCTGCAAAGAGAGCAAAGGAGACTTTTGCTGAGGGGGCAAGCAAGAATGACCGCAGACACTTTCTTTGGTATTTGAGAGAGTGAAAGACTAAGGTGATGTTTTGAGGTCAAGCAAAAATGAGCCGGTGAATAAAGGAGCTTTGCTTCTCCCTTTAAGGTACAGCTTAGAGAGAAAAATAAAAGGATGGGTGGTGTGATCTTCATGAGATGCCAAAAAAAGATATCAGTTGTACCTTTGAGGTGGTTTTAAGCATTGACTTTTTCATTATGGCGAATACTATGGACTACAGATCATGAGTTGGCCATGTTCTGCCCACCTGTAAGCACCGAGCCCCTGGCTCAGCCCTCGCCTTAGCCCGTGAGGCAGGTGCACATACTGCCATCACTTTCTTACTGGTGAACCAACTGAAGCACACAGAGAATCACCAGTTGGGACCCGGCAGGTCAGGGCTTCAAACAGGCTCTCCAGCTCCGCCCATCAGGTTCTTCATAGCTTCTCAACCCCCTCCAGCTTCACTGAGATACAGTTGACATATAACACTGTATTAGAATCGGTGAACGACATAGTGGTTTGAGATCTGTATGTATATAGGTCCATATACATACAGATACATATATACATACATATACATAAAATAAATATGTATTTTTTTCTGGTCATGAGAACTTTTATGATCCACTCTCATAGCAACTTTCAAATATACAATCACTATTGTTAACTATCGTGACCATGCTGTACGTTACATCCTTAGGACTTATGCATCGAAAAACCGGAAGTTTGTATCTTTTAGTCACCTTCAACCCTCTGCCCCTCACCGTTCTGCCCCTGCCTCTGGAACCTACCAGTGTTTCTAGGAAAAAACCACAGGAGAATATCTTCATGCTTTGGGGGAAGGTAAATATTTCTTAAACAAGAGATAGAAAGCAATAACCATGAAAGAAAAGGCTAATGAACTGTACTTCATTAAAATTAAGGACTTTCGTTCATCAGAAGACAAAATTAAGAGAGTGAAAAGGTAACCACAGACTGGCAGAAAAGATTTTCGAGACATAATTCCAAAAAGAGACCTCTATGTAGAATAAGTAAAGAACTTCTACAAATGAATTAAATATACCATTATCTCATCAGAGTGCTGGGCAAAGATTCGAACAGGCACTTCACTGAAGAGAGTTTTTTCCACAACTGATTGATAATAAGCACAAGAGAGATACTTGACATCATTAGTCATCAGGGAAATGAACATTAAAACAGTGAGACATCATTCACCCCACAAGAATGGCTAAAATGAAAAGTGCGTACCAAGTGTTTATGAAGAAACTGGGAATCGTACATTGTTGGTGGAAGCAAAAATAGCACAAACACTTTAGAAAGTTGGGATGGTACCTGCTGATGATTAACGTAGAGTCATACCTTATGGTCCAACAAATCCGCTTCTGGTACACACCCAAGATAAGTGAGTGCTCGTGTCTGCCCAAAAACACGCGATAAGTAATCCGTAATAGCCCCTGGTGGGCAAACAGAGCCAAACTGTGTATCAGCATTAGAACGGATAAATGAATTGTGATGTATTCATACAACAGAAAACTACAGAGCAATGAAAAAGAACAGAACACTGACATGTGCAAAAACACAGATAAAATTACAAAGACATAATGTGAAACAAGCCAGATACAAAAGAACACTTGCTTTAGGATTTCATTAAATGAAATTCCAAAACAGGCAAAGGTGATTATCCTTTTGATATCCACAGGATAAAGGGCAGGGTAGAGGTTACCTTTGGGGGAGGTGATTGTGATTGAGGAGAGTGCAAGAGTCTCACTAGGTTGTTAGAAATGTTCTGTAATGGAGCACCTGGGTGGCTCAGTCGGTTAGGTGTTTGCCTTCGGCTCAGGTCATGATCCCAGGATCCTGGGATCAGGCCCCAGGTCAAGCTCCCTGCTCCATGGGGAGCCTGCTTCTCCCTCTCCCTCTGCCTGTGGCTCCCCCTTCTTGTGCATGCTCTTGCTTTCTCTATCAAATGAATAAATAAAATCTTAAAAAAAAAAGAAATGTTCTGTAAATTGATCTTGGTAGTTGCTTAAGTGTATATTACATGTATGTAAAAACTCATTGAACTATACAATTGGATGTGTGTGCTTTGCTATGTGTAAGTTATACCTCAATAAAAAGAAAAATGGTCTACTTTTCCATACCCTCTACCACCAAACAGAGTGAACCTTTGCAATTCCCATTAACTTTACTGGTAAGTGGCCATAGGATGCATCCCTTCCTTTACATGTGACAGATTTAGATGTTTTATTGGGATAGAAATAAAAAGATCAGAGAAAGATAATACTAAATTGTTTGCCAACTACTCCGAGATTTCCTGAGAAGAGTGTCATAGCAATAGAGATGACTAATGTGAAGTAGATCTTTGAAGTCTCAAAGCCAGAAAAAAAATGAGTCTTTCTTTTTTTTCATGAGTTTAAATAAATTATAGATGGGTTAACAAATTTCATGGAGAAATAAAACATAGAAGACTATTTGACTGGCTTTGTCTTGATGTAGGAGAAATCCTATCTAACCATAAAGATAGAGAAGAAAATAATTTGGGCTGTAAGGAATAATATATATACATATATTTATTTATTTATAAAAATTTTATTTATTTATTTGAGAGAGAGAAGATGCACGAGCAGTCAGGGAGGGGAAGAGGGCAAGGGAGAATCAGGCTCCCCACTAAGCAGGGAACCCAATGTGGGACTTAATCCCAGAACCCTGGAATCGTGACCTGAGCCAAAGGCAGATGCTTAACTGATTGAGCCACCCAGATGCCTGAATAATTTTAATTACCAAAAAATTGCACTGCAATAGAAAAGGGCACTGTAAGTAAAATTAAAAGACAGATGGCACTTGAGGAAAATAGATTTAA